CTCTCTCTCTCTCTCTCTCTCTCTCTCTCTCTCTCTCTCTCTCTCTCTCTCTCTCTCTCTCTCTCTCTCTCTCTCTCTCTCTCTATTTCTGCGAGTCCACAGATATGAAATGCGCTTGTGTTGGGGTTGAACTTCCGGTTCGGTATCTCCTTCTCCTCTCTCTCTCTCTCTCTCTCTCCTCTCTCTCTCTCTCTCCTTCTCTCTCTCCTCTCTCTCTCTCTCTCTCTCTGTGTCTCTCTCTCTCTCTATTTCTGCGAGTCCACACCCAGCTCAGTGGGCGTACTATTCTTTCGCCTTTTACTAAAGAATACCGTGGGCTGAGCACACGTAAGCAGCTTACGTGAAATATTCACAGGCCTACCAGACTAGTCTGGAAAAAAAAAAAAAAAAAGAAAGAAATGCGCTTGTGTTGGGGTTGAGCTTCTGATTCGGTGTCTCCTTCTCTCCTTCTCTCTCTCTCTCTCTCTTTCTCTCTCTCTGTGTGTCTGTGCGAGTCATCTTTGAAAGAGCATGTGCCATACTAATGACTGTGCTTTCTATTCGGGGGAAGGGAATAGGTGTTATGTGGTCTCTGTTTCACTGGGCTGCTTACCCCTCTATCAGGTGATGATGCATTAATTAATTGGATATTAATCTATAAATTAAAATGATAATAATCTATTGCAGAGTCAATGCGGACCTTTTTTCGCAGAATGAAAAGACAAAGCTCAAGGGCCTATTTATCACTAAAAAAAAAACGAAACAAGAAAAACTTGATGGTTAATCAGCTCTCACAAACACATTTTTAAGCCGCAGTACAGTCTGCTCCCGAATACGTGTACGGTCATTATAGCTGAATGTATTTGGGGTATCTTTCAGTCGAAATACAGGTGCTATAATGACCGTACACATACGTATGCGGGGGAAGAAGGAAGTACATCCAAGTCTCCTTTTCTTTTTTTTTTTTCCTTTTTTTTTTCTTGAAAAAAGGTGACGGCCTTGGGATATCATCATTGAGTAGAGATACAATCTCCTGCAACAATCAGCCATGCACAAGGCATGAAAGCCAAAGCAATGATCTCCTGCAACAATCAGCCATGGACAAGGCATGAAAGCCAAAGCAATGAAATGAAAGAAGAAGAAGAAGAAGAAGAAGAGGCAAGAAAGAAAAAAGAAAGAAAAAAGAAAGAAGAAGAATAGATAAGCAAAGTCCCCCGAGCGCGTCAGCTCATTGAGTATTCGAAAAAGCTGACCAAAACCCAATGAACTGAGCTAGGCCCATTTTAAGCCGCTGCTAGTACATCCCAGTCTCCATTTGCCAGGCCCGACTCCCACTGCTGCACACGAAGGCTTTCACCGAAATGCCCAACCCCCCCCTTTAATTTTTGTTTTTGCTGGCAGCACCCCCATTTTGGTCTGGGGGACCTCGAGCCGCCAAACTTTTTAGTTTTTTTATATTTTTATTTTTTTTAAATTGTTTATTTTTATTTTTATTTATTGTTATTTTTTATTTTATTTTAACAGAGCCTCTTAACTTTTCAGAAAGACTGCTTTTCAATTCTCAGCTTTTGCTTCACATGTGGTTCAACCGTTTTTTTT